TTGTTAATATATTAAAAATCAAAATGTTTTGAGTATTCCACTTGAGAGTATTACTGCTGCCACCATCTGTATTAGATGGAAATGGTAGGGGTGGCCAATGATTGGCTAAAGGCCCCCCATCTAGCTCCGCCCCTGCTCAGCAGGTATGGTGGCTCTAAAAGAGCGATTGAATGATCTGAATAAATGTTTAAACCCTGCATAGCATGGCTGTTAAGGTTTCAGGTCTGATGACATGGCCACCTTTCAGAGGAACAACGTTAGTTGAGAAATATGTGGAGCAAAATAACTACAGCTTAAAGTGACACGTCAATGCACATGTGAATAAATTAGAGAGAAGAAGGTTTTAAACCCTTGTGTTTGTATGGATGGGTTCCCTGACTTCCTCCCACTTTCCAATATCCTGCCAGGTCTCATCCAAGCTTCCTTAGGTCTGCTTATGTCCTGTAATTAATTGGCAGTGCGTTCTCACCTGTTAGAAAATATTTAGTGATATTTCTTATTGATGTTCACACATGTTGTAAGGGCAGATTCTTATTGATCTTAACATTTTTCTTTTATGCTGTGCCTCAAGTTGCTTCATTTTAAGCCATCTAAACCTGTTACCATACATATCTATCCATTCACCATTACCAAGTACAACTCTTGGAGATAAACAGATGTGGCTGAACCACAAAACTATCAGAAAGCAAGATGGTGACTTTTATGTAGTATAGTGGTGGCCTAGTGGGTACTGCATTGCGCTTAGAACCCAGAGCTACTTAGTTCAAGCCCAACTCCCATGGACTGCTTCGCTGGCTCCCTGGGCAAGACCATTAACCCCACAATGCTCCCCGGGCGCCGCACAATGTCAGCCCACTGCTCCCCAAGGGAATGGGTCAAATGCAGAGAGTTCATTTCGTTGCTCTGCACTTGTGATGATTTAATGACAATAAACTGAGAAGCTGATGCTTTTAAATAGAGCCAGATTGTCCAGCAATGCCTCCTGGTAAAGAGACAGCTCGTCATGGACCAACCATTCGTAATTTAATAAACTGATCAACCACAACCCAAAAAACAGAGACACAGCATCAAGGTAAGATCTGTTGCTACTGTGTACAATGACAGAGAGCGGTTTTGCTATATTTGTTGTGATCAGTTGGTAAAAAGTAGTTTTAATATATTGCAATGAGAGAAACTCCACCTAAAACATCGTCTGTGCAGTGAGTTAATCCAGATTATGATCCTGCCTTCAAATATTGTTTCGCTGCCGTAGCCGCTCGGACCCCCACATACCGGTGGTGCACTGGGAACTGGGAACCCCCAACAGCAGCTACCTCAGGCCCAGTCGCCTCTTGGGAATTTTCCTTTACTGTTTGTAGCGGCTGGAAACTGATATTTTTTTCTGGTTTGTCGTAAAAAATGCAAGCACCAGAATAAAAAAAGTGAACATATTTTGCTTGCAGGTTTCGACTTGCAGTTAATTTATGTTTTAGTAAACAATTTCAGTGTAGGGGTCATAGCGCTCTGCATCAGGAGCGCTGTGTCTCTTTCTCTGCCAGGTCCCAAATCAGCTTCTCTGATTGGTGTATTTAGCGCATCGAGCAACAGAAATTAAATTTTTCCAAATTGAGCTTCTGCTGCCTGTAAACACTTGAGCAACGTTTCCAGGGGAAAAACAAGGTGTACAATTTGTTGTCTTTGTTGCAAACATTGCTAGCTAAAAGCCTGCTGTTAGCATTTTAAGTTCACCAAATTTTCAGAGACGGGACAACTGTGGGGAATAGCACCACCTCATCCAGAGGCTATGTCGAGATCACGGTTGCTTTCAGCAGTACTTCCACCTATACATGGGTCAGTATTGGGCCCTGCTGTCTAATACTGGGGTACGAATCATCTGGACAACAGAGGGTTAGGTGAAGTTGCATTTACAGCTCAGACAGGAGTAACAGGAAATCGGTGTTAGAAAACCGGCAGAGAAGAAAAACTGAACTGGGACAAGTGTGTTAATCGTGTCACCCTTTGGAACCAAGGAACCACAGTGGTAGATCGGAGGAGCCCCCCTGGGAAATAAGCACACTAGATTGGGGAGAGGGGGCAAAGAGACTGGAGGTACCTATTGAAAAGCTGGCTGGGGCTAGCTATAGAAAATAATTGCGGAGGAACCGAAGAGCACAGCGGCAGATCGGAAAAGTTTACTGGGAAGATAGAACACTGAAGGCAGGGTAAAGACTACAGCTGCCCGGGATTAGGACAGAGGAATATTGGAGAAGCCAGCCAGGGAGGCAGATCTAGAAGCGGCTGGGTGGAGTTAGCCTCTAGAGGTTAACTGCAAGAGATCAAATGACTATTACTGAAAATCAGCAAAACTAACCCAGGCAGACACTGGCTGAGCTGCAGAGAAAATGCATCGGCTGATCGTCTGTGCTGGAGGTAGGACACAGAAACTGTCCTTTTAGGGCTGAATTAAATTAAATTGATTGATTGACTTTATTAATCTCACAGTGGAGAAATGTACTCGTTACATCTGCTCAAAAAGTCAAAAATAGAAG